AAAAACATTCCAGTATAAAAAAAGTACAAAGCTTGAGGCTTGGTTTGCCTAAATTTGTAAACTTTATTTATAATATTTTGCTAACTTTATTTCACCTTACAGCTATGCAACTCAGGCACTCAATAGTTAACATCATGCCATAACAAAGCTGCATTGTTTCGATTGAGCCACATCGTAAAAGTTGCTTCTTTCATAGATTTAGTAAACGAATCCCTACATCTCCCCACTAATGGCTCTAATCCTCTACTATTGTACTCTAATTATTCTTACAGTACACAACTACTCTAAAATACTAAGAAGACACTGAAATCAAATGCATGCAAAAACTATGACACAGTCCACAATCAATGCATCAAATCCATTCCCGCGATTGCAATCGAAACTATGTTATCGAACCATTGCTGACAGGATAGAAAACTAGAGTTTGTAACACCATTTAATGAAGAAAATGTTGCTTTGTTTATCAGAGACATTGCCTGATGAAATTGGTCTCAGATTATTCAAGGGCAGTGGGCGGCACAAAGGCTGAAAGGTTAAATAGAGAGAAAAAAAATTCTGCTTACAGATGCCTTGTAGGTTGGTATGTAAGCCATCTCTAATGAACAAAATACAAGAATCATTACTTAGCGTATACAGGACAAGTAATATAACTCTCACATATCATAGGAATAAGAATTCATAAAGGCAAATTTGTATCCATTCATTCAGCTTCTAGCCCTAGGAAAGTTAATGGTGTATATACAGATTATTCTTCTTTTATTAGCCACATAAGTTCATACGCTAGATGAATGATGATCTCCATCCTACGAGCCCTTCCAATAAGGTAACTGGGACACGGCAAATAAAATTCTTCAATTCCAAAAAACAGGTTGTACAAATCGTGAACTTCTTCAATTCCCAGGTTCAGAAGAACTAGAATCAAATTGAAGGTAAAACAGAGGTTTTTTTTATGGGATGGGCTTGATTTTGGGTGGAGGACTGGAGGATGTCATAAACTAGCCCAAATGTCCCCGGATTTGCTCCCAGTTAAACCCAAAAAGACTTCCCGTACCCATTTTCAAGGGGACGCCAGGAGACTTATCCGTACCGTACCCAGTACGGGAAACGGCTTAAGGATAGCGTACCCGCGCATCATAGTCTCCAACCAACTATATAATGTTACTATTGATACATTGTAAAAATGCTATCGTTCCAAGGGATATGGGCAAATTCTGTAAATTAGAAATGTAGGCGGTTGATTAAAGATAAAGGATATTCATTAGCTAAAATCCCTTCCTCTGCTAACGCTTCACACGACAGCACTGAGAAGGGAATTCAAGGAGCACACTCAACAAACGATGATCTAGCCTAATTGAAAGTTCCAAGGTCTCATCATGATATAAATTCAGCTGAAAATTCCTTCCTACTTTCCTAGCGAGTCCAGCTTCCAGTTATTCATTGTAACTAGAATAATAACCCTAACAACTAATAATCTATAAACTTCACATTTACAAACCCAGATAATCATCAATTGCACAATAATCTTGTCGATTCTAGAAAGTAGCATGCTGCGGAAACAAACAATTTACTGCATTCATAACTCAATTTTAACCAAATTAAAGATCACCTTATAAAATTCAATTTTCTAGCAAAAAATTACCAACAACAGCAACACCAAGTTTAATTATAACCTAGTCAAAAAAAAGTTTAATTATAACCACAAAAAAGGAATTATTGTGAACTAAATACGAATTAAAGGACGTGATTATGAAATTTGTCAACAAAATTATGCAGCAAAAAAAGATAAAATTTAGGGTTTGAAAGTAACATTAAGAAAATGTGGGAAATTTAAGAAACTAAAAACGAATATAACCTTCTGGCGTTTCCATGAAAGAAATTGAGCAGGTGTTAATGAAGCAGGAGCTCCAGAATCTGGCATTTGTTTCGGTTGTTCTGGTTCTTCCCCCATTTCAACGTTGCTTGGAATTCACACGCTGAGAAAACAAAAAGTACTGGTCATACGACAGTGTTTTTTTTTTTTTTTTTTTAAATTTTTTTTTTCTGTTTCTCATTTTTAACACAAGAAAGTGTTGTTTTAGCTACTCCCTCCGCTTTTTTAAGTGTTACAGTTTGACAAGTAAATAATTTTAGGCTTGTTTACATTTACTTAATTTCAATTCAATCTGGTTCAGCTCCGAATTCCCCTCTCTCATAAAATATTCATTTCAGCTCAGCTCAGCTCAGTTTAGTTTAGATTAGTTCAGTTCAGTTCAATTCAATTCACTTCAACTCAATTCAGTAAATGTGAACAGGAATAAAACTCAATTCACTTCAACTTAATTGATTTAAATAAAATAAGAGGCAAGTGGGATAGTTGAAGTATTAAAAAATTGTAAAAGAAAGATAGTGAGATTAATAGTTTATTAAAAAGTAATGAATGTAAGAGGAAAAATATAATAAAAAAAAAGTAGTAGTGAGTTTGGATGGGGACCATAAGAGGAGAGAAATATAATATTTCTAATGTAGCTTTTTGCCAAAAAAGAAAGTGTAACACTTATTAAAACACGACCGTATTTGGTAAGTGTAATACTTATTAAAACACGAAGGGAGTAATACTATATGTAGCCGTAAAAGCTATATATATAGTATTAAACTAGCATTCAGCCCGTGCGATGCTATCGCACGAATTATACTCCCCGCGTTACATATTACTCGCAACAATTACTGAAAATGCACATTACGTATTACTCGCAACAAACTTCTGATTTTTTTCCTTTTAGGGTAAGTTTTTATGTGGGATTTTATAAAATTACCCTTTAAAAAAAATACCCTAATTAAGCTTCTGATTTATTTTTACTAAACTAGGGCAGCTAACACGCGCGATGCGCGCACAATAGCTAGCCACATCCAAAATCTCTTCCGATTTAACCTTACATCACAAATTTAGTTCTTGACAACTTTTTAATGAGAAAATTACATAAACCAAATTTTAAGGGTATAAATTCCATGCATTATTCTTAATATATATATATATTAACAAGTAATCATTATTATTGACAATGAATAAATAGTCTAGATGGTATAATGTCCAAACACTATTCATTACAAGAATTTATACACATTAATGAGGGTATATATGTAAATACATATTTTAAAGGACATAATTAGCATAACACTATTCATAAGAGTAATCTTGTACTTTTTATAAAGTAAGGAAAATAAAAAAATTAAACCTTCTGATTTTAACTTATTAACTTAAACCCTAACATTGTTTGATTTAATTATTTCCACCAAAATCATCCCCCTTCCAATATTTCCACCAAAATTATTCCCCTTCCATCTAAATTCATTCTCACCTCCATTGACAACCACCACTGCCGCCAATCTCCATTACATGTTCATCAACCTAGAAATTTGGCAACCACCACCGCCAATCACTGTTGTCGTTTGCTGAGGCCGCCTCGGTTTTCTCTCTCTTTCTTTTCGTGTTGTTTAATTTTGTCATTGTCAGTGAAGCACATATTTGAAGGTTTTATGGTCAAATTTAATCATCTAGAGTTTTCATGATTAAATTTGACTAATTAAAGCTTTAATTGACGATAGAGAAGGCATTAGTTTGTGGAGTTAGGCGGAATTTTTAATTTCGTTGTTTCATGGATTGTGGGTTCGTGGGTTTTGGGTTCACTAGTAGAAAAAGGCTCATTTGCGTCGCTCATTTATAGTGTATTTGCGTCGCTTCTATGAGCGACGCAACTGCTCGCGACGCAAATGATTTAAAAGTCATTTGCGTCGCTCCTAGGCGCGACGCAAATAAGAGTCATTTGCGTCGCAAATGACTCTTCTGATAAACTTCTTTTTTGTTATTTGCGTCGCTCCTTTATAAAGGAGCGACGCAAATGACTCTTATTTGCGTCACTCCTTTATAAAAGAGCGACGCAAATGACTCTTCTGATAAAATTCTTTTTTGTTATTTGCGTCACTCCTTTATAAAGGAGCGACGCAAATGACTCTTCTGATAAACTTCTTGTTTGTTATTTGCGTCACTTGTTTATATAGGAGTGACGCAAATAACTGACTAGACAATACAAAATTGTTGTATTTGCGTCACTTGTTTGTTTAATGAGTGACGCAAATAAGGTGAATTTTTTTTTTTTTTTAATTATAATAATTGCCTTGTATATGTTTGTAGTACCTGTTTTCCTCACTAGTGGTATAAAGTAATATGCTAACGCTAATATAATTGAAATTAAAATGCAATATTATTGAATAATGCAAATGTAAATTTCGGCAGATTCTCCTTTGTAATTTGGCCTACCCATAAAATTGGAAATGACGGCATTATATTAACAACCTGTCCAATAATTTACATCTCAATATCATAGACATTATACTCATCATCCCAACACCAATTAACCAAATTTCATTTCAAGCCTATAATCCAAAACAAGAGTCCAACATGCGCTAAGTTTACAACAAAACAATATTGACCTCTTCATCATTAATTAATAAGTATAACACAAGCACCAAACCAACCCAAATGTTGGTAAATCAAATGCGTTCATTTCAAGCCTAAGAACTATAACAAAATAATCCAATAAATAATATGGAATTTGAAGCCAGCGTAATTCAATTTAGGGACAAAATCTTCATTTTCCCTAACATGATCGAACAAGTCCATAATAGAAGTCCACTTCCTTTTTCTCTTGCAAACAGTTTAAATATCAAATACAATTAATCAATAAACAATCAGAGTTGAGAATGAAGGATCAAAGCAACAAAATAATATTCTACAATTATTTAAACAACTACATTACCTAGCTTTCCAAGAAAATACTAATAGTTGTTACTCTAATTAAGTATACTAGCAGAGGAATAAAGGATTGATGCCAATTATTTGCAAAACCTCTTAATACAAAAACCAATAATGGCATTTATACGATTCGATCAGGATTTTCTTAATACAAAAACCAAGAGGGCCACCAAAATTAAGGCATTTTCTTTGGAGTGCCGTGAAGGGGAATATGGCTGTGAAAGATCGACTAAGGTATCGTCACATTACAACTGACGCTACTTGCCAATTATGTGGTGTGAATGAAACAATTTATCACACTCTATTTGAGTGTGTTGTTGCAAAGGAAATTTGGCATTACAGTGAGTACAAAACCAACCTGGAAGATGCGCCAAATGATAATTTCGCAGAGCTATGGTTATGGCTTTGTAAGAAATATGATGCAGAAGTAGTTTGTTCTATGGCCGCACTGATGTGGGCTGCTTGGAGAGGGAGGAATTTAATCATGTTTCAAGGTGAGAATCCGAATAGTGTGCTGCTGGCTGCGGGGTTTGCAAGGATAGTTCATGATTACAATGGCTATGCTAAAAAGGTTCTGCTGCCCCCCTCTGTTCTGAGACAAAATGATGCTGCTACAAGCTGGAAGAAACCGTGCCTTGGGTGTGTTAAAGCAAACTCAGATGCTCATATTCTTGAGGGGTGTAAGGCAAGGCTAGGAGTGGTCGTTTATTTTTAACAAAACGGCCTGGTAAAATTATTTCAATACAAACACTATGTCATAGTTTATCTTTTCACGGCCAAGTATATCATGGAACATTTTTTAGCTAAAAAAAAATGGGAAAGAGCTTCTCTTAGTATTAGCAGGGGAAAAATCAATCAGAATGAGCAGCAAAACATAAAAATTAAAAAAAAAATAAAAAAAAAACAGTCAGATTTAAAAAACTGTAAAATGAGCAGCAAAACATAAAAGAAAATACAGTCAGATTGGAGAAAAATCAATAAAATAGTAAAATCAAAATTCACCAAATCAACTACATAAATTCACCAAAACAGAACCAAAATAGTGAAATCAACTACATAAATTCACCAAAACAGAACCAAAATTCCTTAGAATCGAGTATAAATCCTATATTTGATGAACCCTAAATTCGAATATGAACCCTAAATTCGAATATGAACCCCAAAAAGCTGTTATTTATAAGCATGCTTGTAAAACTAGAATTCGTGCAAAAAACAACAACAAAATAGGTAGATTAAACTAAGTTAATTTACAATTGATTCCAAATATCTATGTAGATTGAAGTGCATGATAAAAAAGAAAAGAGATGAAGAGGTCTTACCTTGCTTGAAATCGATTTTGCATATGCAACTTCAGCAACAATAGAGCCAAAATTCCATATTATTGAGTACAAACCCTAACTTTCAATTGTTATTTTGCTCAAATTTAATTAAGGTAATTTGCTCGATTTTTTGCAATTGAATTTTGTGGGGATTTTGGGTAGATTTTTTGCAAGAAAGTAGGGGATTTTTGCTCGGATTTGCTCGAATATAAGGGGTTTTGCCTCACATTTGCTGGGATTTTTGATTAGTGGTCAAATTGGTAGGTTATGAAGACGAATTTCTCGAGGTATTACTCTTAATTCGCTGACGTTTAGGGGGTTGAACAGCAGCAAAGCAGCAATGGGGAATTCAGGGGTTTTACCGATCAATTTTTTGGGGTTTTGATGTTGAATTTCTGGGAATTTTGGGGTTGAATTTTCTAGGGTTTGGAGTATTGAAGTTCGAACAGCAGAAGTCAGCGAGAATTAATATAAGTCGTAATGGTCATTTGCGTCACTCAGTAAAGAAAGAAATGACGCAATTGACTCACAAAGGTTATTTGCGTCACTTGTCAATAAACGAGTGACGCAAATAACATTGTTATATGCGTCGCTCCTACTTATAAAAGCGACGTAAATATAAATAAGTTGAAATATGTTTGACATTTGCGTCGCTTTATAACAAATGCCCGACGCAAATTACTTATAAGGTTGTCAAAATATCTTATTTGCGTCATTTGTTTCAATGAGTGACGCAAATAAGGCGACGCAAATGAGCATTTTTCTACTAGTGGTTCTAGGTTTTCGGTGGTTAGTGGGTGGTGGTGGTGGGATCGTCATTTCATGGATTGTGGTTGGTGGGGTTGTGGGTGGTGGTTGGTGGTTCGTGGGTTTCGGGGTTGTGGGTGGTGGTGGGTTGTAGTGGGTTCAATGCTGCTGGGTGGTTAGTGGGTTTGCGCTGCTAGGTGGTGGTGTTGGGTGGTTTTGTGGTGCTAGGTGGTTGTGTTGGGTGGTTTCGTGATGCTAGATGGTGGTTTTGTGGTGATAGATGGTGGTGTTGTGTAGTTTCATGGTGCTAGGTGGTGGATTGGTGCTGCTAGGTGGTGGTGGTGGTTCGTGAATTCAAGTTGGTTGATTGTGATTTTTTATTTAATTTGTTTTTTTTAGGTTGGATTAACACTTAAGTGTATGCCCTTATTTTTCATTAATCATGCTTTTCAATAATTTGTCTAGGAGTCCGCAATTCCCTACTTTGTTGCGAGTATTTCGTAACGGAGGGAGTATTTATTTGTAATTTTTTTAATGGAAGGATTGATCAAGTTATATATGCCTTTAAAAGTGAAAACAGGGGGAAAAATTTCATAACCTACATATGTATGAAAAATAATTTCTTTTTTTAAATTTTCCTAGCAAAAAATTGGATTAAAAGGCCCTGTTTAGTAGTAGCGTTTGAGGTAGCGGTTAGCGTTTTGACCAGTCAAATCACTAGTAGAAAAAAATTTAAGAGTGTTTGGCAAAGTAGCGATTCTAGTAGTGATTAGCGATAGAGGTAGCGTTTAGGTATCTTTTTTCAAACGTTAAAAATAGTAGCGTTTAGAACTAGCGGGTAGCGTTTGACATATTTTTATTACTTTTTAAACAATATTTATATGAATTTTGATATATTTTTGTACTGCAACCACTACTTTTACCAAACACTCATACTATCAACCGTTAATTTGACAGCTAACCTCTACCTACTACTAATTGACCGCTACTCGCTACCTTAACAACTACCCGCTACTCAACCGCTAAAAGCTACCCGCTACCGCTACTTTTGCCAAACATTGAAAGCCATGCCCACTAGCTCCATTTGAATCTTTCAAAAATATATGTCAATTCAAAAATTTTATATGCCAATTACATGAAGGAAAATAAGAAATTAAAATTATTGAAGATCTTGGATTAAAATTTAATTAGTGACTAACCTATAATTTGACTGAGATGCAAAATGAGGAAAAAAAATAAAGATATACTTTATTCAATGAAATCTACTAGTAGAATGCCCAAAAATAAGTGCATAAAAACTCGATTAAGAGTATATATACGTAGTACTTAGATTGAGAGGAACATAAAGATGCAAACTAAAAAGTTTTTTTAAAATAAGAAAACAGCAAAATGATCACAAATACAATTTAATATTGCTTTTCACACATGATTGTGATTTTGATAAGTTACTCAAAAAAAAAAAAAAAAAAAAAAAAAAAAAAAAAAAAAAAAAAAACCTTACAACCAAAATTTCACAAGTTGACATAAACCTAGCTAGAATGAATAAGCAAATTGAAAATAAGATAAAAATATATATACAAAATCATGAATTGCATTGTACTTTTTTTTTTTTTTTTTTTGCTAATTTTGTTTATAAAAAAGAAAATAATTAATGTTAATAAATTAGTGCTTTAGTTATTAAAATTTGGGGATGAATAAAATGAAAGGAATAGTGATTACATTCGTAACTGAATTTAATTAGGGAAGAAAGTAAAATGCATTTTGATTTGAATAGTTAATAAAATGGGAGTTTGATTAATAAATATAAAATAAAAACTAATGCAACCCTTCACGAAAAAATTAAATAAAAAATTGATGCAACCCTTCAAGAAGAAGAAGAAAAAAAAAAAAAAAACACCTGATGCAACTTGTTTCGAGTGTTTTTTGGATTTCCACGGATACTGGTCACGCTCTTCTGGCAACGAGACTGACACACCTGCAAAACAACGAATATTCCGTTTGTCAGAATATTCGTCTCCGACGATCAAGTCAGTGATCGGAAACGGAAAAGACTAGAGAGAGAAAGTAGAGAGAAGTTGGAGCTATTAATGCTCTTTTTCTTGTAATGTCTTTATCCACCCCTCCCATCATAAATGACTGGAGTATTTATAGGGGTGAAGCTTGTGCCCCTTTTAGGGCTTGTACCCTAAAATTGCGTGACGTGATTGGCTGCGCAATCGGAGAATGCCACGTGTCGCTTTGCGGCTTTCAATGATATCTCTCGGGATTTGGGCCCTGGTCTAATTAGGCCTCTTTTGCGTGTTGTTCTGAGGGGTCATGTATGCCCTAAACACGTGGCATGTTCCTGTAACGACACGTGTCACCCTATCATTGGGCCACGTGTCGCTACAGGATTGGAATTAGCCCTTTGAGTGCTCTTAAGCTAGACGCGTGACATCTTCCCATAGTGACACATGTCGCCCTCTAACTGGGCCACGTGCCGCTCGGGATTGGTCCACGTGTACGGGGTATTTTTTACCCTCAACATTTGCCCCTCAGAGGGGGTGGCTCGTACGCTTACAGGCCGCCTCCTCTGACCTTAACTAGCCTTGGTGCGTACGGAGTACATTAGGGTTTTGACATACGGCTTTTGTCCGCCTAAAAATTTCAAGCGAACGCCCATCTTTGCGGAGGGCGCGGACAACAGTAGGCCGTCTCGTTTTTTGGAAAATCGGCCGTCTAGCCATTGCGGAGGGAGCTTTAGCTCCGTCCTCTTATCCGTTTATTTTTGGACGTGCCGTTATTAGGCCGTCTTCTTTTCCGCCTATTCTAACGGCGTTGTCTTTCGCCCCTTCAAATTTTAGGTTAAATTTTCAAATTATAACCGTTCAACTTTTTTAGGCGGGAAAGGTGAATTTACCATCCTACCCCCATAAATTTTTCCTATAAATATGAGGGGTTTGACCTCATTTTGGCACTTTACGTTCTTGAGAATTCTAGAGAGAAGTCGGAGCTTTTAGAGAGAGAAAGTGTCATTTTCTTTGAATCTTCGAGAGCTCCGCCGTGCCTTTGAATTTTCCGGACATATTTTTTGAGTTTTTCGGTCAACCTTCAAGGCTTTTCAAGTTTTCTACACGTACAGAGGTAGGCCGCTTGTTTTCGTTTCCTTTACTTGATTTTTATTTCTTTACTCTTCATTTTTAAATCTGGCTCAACACCCGGCTTCGTCCGTTTCTCCTCATGAGGTCGGTCGTTCGCCTGAGACTGAGGAGTCTAGAGTGGACAGAGACGAGTTGTCTCCTTCATGGAGTGGGTCCATTTCTAGTGCGTACCAACTCACTTCCACCTATTCTTCTCTATCCCTGCAGTCAAACATGGCAAGAACAATGCAGACGCATGATCGTCATGCGGCCAGAAATCTAGACGGTAGTCTGGTACACCCTAGGCCTCCTTATAAGTTATAACCCTAACAACACGGACTTAAAACTCCTTCCACCACTCCTACGACTGCTACCACTGGCACTCACTACTCGGCCGTGGAAGTAACTTCTTCCCTTGAGGAGCGCCACAGAACTCAGGGCGCTTCAGCCACAGTGGGAACTTCCGGGCGAAATCCGGGATTAATTTTCCCTCAATATGCCAACTCGGTCATGGATGCGGCCGAGTTGCT